TTAGAATTTCTCTTAAACAGGCCGTTCTAGGATACACTAGGAACTTTATAAACATTGCAATGGGTGCGTTTTAGGTTATATATACAATTTTATTTGATTCGCAAGATTCTCTTGATTGCATCCGTCACCTCGCTCGTTCGGGCGATAAACACGAGTGGATGCAGCGCCGTAGTGAGAAAAACAAATGTGACCATCATTGTGTACAGTATTTTGGCATGTTCTAGTTCTTCTGTACAAACGTATTCCTTGCAGAAGCTGACGACAGTCGTGGGGACATAACAGGCAACAATGAGGACGGCTACGAAGGCCACTGTATATGCGTACTTTTTAAACCGAGCCACTTCCGTGAAAAGGCTTCTGAGGGAGCCTCGCCGGTCTAAAGAATGATCCGAAGATACTGTCAGTTCCATAATCTGCTGCTGATGACGTCGAACGAGGACCAAAATTTTCAAATAAACTAATACGATTATAAAAAGACAGATAAAGTTCGTAGACTTCGTAATGAATAGAAAGGTTTGGTTGGCCACCCAGAATCTTGTTACAGTCATTGAGACAGAAAGAAGCCATGCGATGAACACTACTGTCGTTATACGCTTCTTGGTAACAACTTCCCTGTATCGTAAATGAAGATGGAGGGATAGATATCGGTCTATCGACATGAATGTCAACACTACGAAAGACGCATTGAGCGCTGTTTGTGAGCAGAACTCGTAAGCGAAACGAGACAAGCAGTAAAGTTCGAAGTTCCTCGCCATTTCTGCTGCTTTGAAGACCACGAATGCTGGTCCAGCTAAAAAACCCAATAGGAAGTCGCAAAAGGCAAACCAACCCAGCAGAATATTTGCTGGCGTTTGAAGAGATGTGGTTTTCCAAAGTCCTATGACGATGAGAATGTTGCCAACCGAAGAACAGATGGCGAAGAACGAATTTAAAACACAGGCCATGACGTTGACAACGAGAGTGGCCGAACTCTCAAAGATGGGGGCGGTGAAATATAGGCAAGTAACTGATGAAACAGGGCTGTCCATGAGATGAGAAACGTTCATAGTAAACTTTCTTCGTACACCACACACGGTGAAATGCTCGCTCAACGAAGACGGCCACGGAAAGCGAGATTTATAGCGATGTAATTTTTCATATTGGTAACTGTGTGAAGTTTATGGCAGTATTATGTTATGTAACCTAACATATATGATGTTGCTATTGTAAATTGTTTTGCCAGATGACGGAAGAAGCGTATTTTACTAAGGGAAGTTCCGTTAATCAGGTGATTTTAGTGATGTTTTGATATTACGATCGCAATTATCTATATTGTTCCCTTCACGGCCCTATTTCTCCGTAAAGTTGTTAATCACCTGAGACAAAGAGAATACGCGCTTACATATGTAAATGCATTTTCTTTAAGAAGACTTCTATTTATAAGACGAATGTCTTGCAAGCATGATTTAACATAGAACTGTCTTTGAAGTTGGAAAAGGAATATTTAGAGTTAAAAGAAATTAGCCAAATCAACGAAAACCTATAATCGCCAATACTGTGTCTTAATAATGGAATATCATTCGTTGCTAACCAATCACCGTTACCACTTTGAACGCTGAACATTCTACAACGGTCATTAATCTTTTACAACTTAATTCATGCCTGGTGCGGTAACCATGAAGAAGATGCCGAAACTATACCAAAACAGATGCAACATCGAATTGGCAAGATGGACGAATATTTCATTACTTTACTGGGCCCTTCAAAACCTTTTTTCTTTGCTTTGTAGATCGATGTCGCAAGTAGCTCAGATGTTTTGCTTTATACCTTCTAGTTGTACGTCATAATTACTTTTCTTTCAAACATTACTCATCCAAGTTTTATAAACAAAACAAAAGATTCTGATACTGGTAAAAAGTCGAGCGCACTGTTTCTGGTTGAATTCCGATTGCTTATGTTTTTCCCACAAGACCAATCTCCGAGACTGAAACAAACCTTTCGCTTTTAAATTTAGTCGTGACGTACTCTGGGCTAGTATTTGGGCAAGTAGAATTATTGCCTTGCACACTATTAGACAGAGCGTTTGAATACTCAGGTGAAGAAGCAAAAGTTTGAAATATCATTGGGAATTTGAATAAACAAAACAACCTTCATTTAAATCGATTGTTGACATCGCTTTTGCTTGTCCCCTCTGTTTTTTGGTCTTGCTAATTTGTTTGTTCAATTGTTTCTGCAGCTCCTTATATTACAATTTTCCTAGCCCGTATTGGTCTCATTAACCAATATTGATTGGCCGCGGCCCGAATTTGTTCAGCTAACGTTAGACGGCGGAAAAGTATTTCAAATAATTGTTGAAGAACGAGGTAGACAGACTATAACGTATAGATTAGGTTAGTACTTAAATAGCTCATAGAATGAAATGTCTTCTTGAAGCAATTCCATATCCGGCTACCTGTAAAAAGAAACAGATGTTACTATTTATATTAACTACATTAAATAGACTAATGCAAATTATTGCAGCCCACACACTTACAGTGGCGACAAAAATAAGGATGTTGTCAATCACCGTCTTGGCTCAAAAGCTTTGCCGTTTTATCTAAGGACTCTTAGAATTTTATAAAGAGGTTACTAGTCAAATTGGAACCTGTACTTTCTTATAATGTCGTCAACTAATAATTAACATAGCCTTCATCCCAAAATATCCCAAATTAGTATTCGATTTGTAGTGGCATTGGGCAAAATGACTTTCAAATATTAACACTTACTCCACCAGCGTTGTCGTTAAGTGAATGCCGTCAAGGACTTACGGAAATCAAAATAGTACGGTCATCAAAGGGCGTTGCACCTTTTAGTCGAATCTTCTACGCATTCTTATGAAATAATAAGTCTTGTTTTGAGCAAGTTTGATTTTTCCTCGTGACCAGTGCAACCCGCGGACGATTTCCAACTCAAACACAACTCAAGCTTCGAGTCACCTGACAAATTGAAATATTGTTATTTCAAGGCCAGGGAACTTGTTCAATATTTCAAGGATTTATAGGTGATCTTGCCAATACCCTAAATCTTTTAAAGACAACACCTTTCACCTCACAGGTCAAACAAATTAAAAACGATAACTCACAGGTGAGATCTCTTTGGCTATATAATTGGTTACCCACAATAGATTTCAGTTAAGCTGTCACTTTTGTATGTCTTCCCCCCCCCGGCAACGAAAGAAGGCTTGTTTTGCATCAGTGCACGAGTGTACAAGAAATTGGTGATAAAAAACACAAATCATGTGACATAAAAATTAGCTTTTATTTACAATATAATGACTTTAAAATAAGGAAATATTGAATGGCCTAAAAGTACGAAAGAAGTTTCTGAGAACTTAAAATTTGATAAAGATCGTACAAAGTTTAAAAAATTCACGCTTTTATTTTCTATCAATTTTTGCCTCTGGGCTCGAGCTTGTAAATGAAATTTAGCAGTGCAGTGGAACATACAAACGTAAAAGGCAAGTCAAGATGGTTCTTTTTTAAAACGCCGTTTGCAAAACGATCACACAACCTGCCAGGAAGCAAGCACGATCAAAATGTAATTTGAAAACGGAGGTTTCACTCTCAAAACGAATCCAAAATGTTTTCCGTCGTCGGAGAAATTTGAAAACGAAACTGTCACCAACACTTTGCATTTGTGTTTGAGTTAAACTCGGGCAGGGGGAATATCGTGATAATCGATCGTAACGTCATCGTTTTCGAAAAGCTTCATTTTCAAAGTGTTTCACGTCAGGGATCCACAATAAAACGCGAGGGCGGCGTTTTCAGCTGATTCCTCCGGTTTGAAGAGCGTTTTTCGAAAAGCTCCGTTTTCGTGAAGGCCGTGTGGATGGTAGGCCTAATCGGGGAAATAAAGCTCCGTTTTCAAATTCCTCCGGCGTTACGTGGACGAGGCTTTAGAGAATAGTGATATCGTACAGTTAACTTGGGATTTATCATCCTACATAAGCTTACGTTTAAGGGAAAAACTTTCAAATGAGGACATTCCAACCTCAAAATACAACAAGGTAAAGCACCGAGTGGCAATGAAGGCGATTCAGCGCGAGGTAATTCCGTTGAAAAATTGTTGAGGCGACAATATCGGGGAGAGCGCACGGGATTTATGGGGAGGGAGCCTGGACGATGATTTCAGGGTGAATTAATCGTAAGTCGCGATCGAGGAAAGACAATTCGCTATTACAGTGCTTCGAAGATATAAAACTCATGGGGAAATTTTTCCTCGATAAATTTTTTCGTCGATAAACAGCGTCAACCACAAAAACAGCATTTACATGTATACACAGATCCTCAATCCTAAATATTGCACTATACTACTCATTAACAGAGAGTGAGGTCTTCACGGGAAAATCTCAAATATTACATGATACCGCTTTTTGCTTTGTTTTTGCAAGCCCGTAATCGGCCCATGGGCATTACAAGAGCATAAAGCCCTAGTATTAGCCAATCAGAGGGCGCGTTATTTCGGCTACAAACACAAGTCCAGTAATAAACTAACTTTAAGGCTGCTGCAAACAATAGCTTCTTCTCGCAGCTTTAATTGCATTCAAACCGGCTCAGTTTTTCGTGTGCAAATCTGTAATGTTTGGGCACAATGTTAACTTGAGATCAAATTGAGCAAAAAATAACTGAAATAGTTGAAACCGGGATTTTAGATCTTTTATTATTCTTGAGGAAAACTGAAATAATTAACAATTACTCAGTGGACAAAGTTGAGCAAAATATTGTGATTAGTCAGTGGCGAGCAGATCAAATTGTTTGACTTATTTGCCGAGGCCGAAAGGCTGAGGCAGATAATTGATCCGCGAGACACTGACAAATCGCGATATTTTGCGATAACCGAGTTCAATTACTGTTTTATCATTCGATCACCAAGTTTGTTTTTATATTCAAATCACTCGCTGACAGCTCAAGGAAGCGATCTGCCATTTTTCACACAAGAGCGCAGTTACAATTACACATGAGCAGAATATTATTTGCAGCAAAACACATTTAGACATTACTACCATTATTTGTAGGCAGTTATTCGCAGTTTACATGGTGGGCTCTCGGCCAACGCAAAGGAAGAAAACAATGCATGGAATGATAATACATACTGCTCGTCAAATACTGCGGAAATATTTTTTCGCCCTGAGGAGTGTTTATCTAGAGATTGGAATTTTGGAGCACAGTTTAGAGACGCTTATTTTGAGCTGTTTCTTGATAAACTGTTGCCCACGGGGTGTTTTCTTTTTCTTTTTGCCCAAGAAGCACTATTGGTTCAGCTATACAAGGAAAATAAAAGCCGGAACTTTTCAAAATGCAAACGCACAAGTTCTGGAGGCTTTCTGAGCCAACATGAATTGAATTTGCAAGTTTCTCTAACAAAGTACCAATTAATATTTGAAAGTAGCACTGCAAAATTGCAGAGTCCGTTGCGACTTAAATGTCTACTTCCTAAACTCTTCCTCTTAGCTGTTCTTCCCGCGACGCTATGTCTATTTCCTCCCGAGACAATCCCCACAAGCCCTCGCGTCGATCCTTTGGCCCAGACCAACACTCTTCTATGAAGTGAGCCATTGCATTTGATTATTAAGCTACGGTCGCGGGACGAACTGCAGTTCACCAGGAGGAAGAATTGCGGCTATTTGTTTAGGCTAAACAAATTAAAGTAGTTCAGAAAGCCTGTCTCTTAAACTCTTTCACTGACTCTCACGTTGCCGGTGGAGTATTTTCCCTTTTTGTGCATTGAAAATAGATCAGCTCTTCTTTTGGCTAATCTTCTATGCCCCGTCGTTCCATTGAAAAGTTTCAGCTGATTTCCAGTGTATATGAGGTTTAGATTGACCGCCGAGCACGTGTTGACCAAATTGGAAACTGAAGTCAAAGTGACACCTGGGACATTTCTGACCTGAATGTTCCTCTTCGGACTCAAAGAGCCACTGCGGATAAAAGAGAAAATCGCTCGGCGGAATTCCTGCATTCTAAACGAATACACGAGTGTGTTCACGAACGAGTTGCTATATTGAAGGAGTTTTATGACGTAGACCAGTCTATGAGAGGGAGGGTTACATTGTTTGCAGAAATGAACAATTATTATTACGACCTCAAAGGGCATCCATGTGAAGATGAAGATTCCCGTGACCACAAACAACGTGATGGCTAATTTTTTGTCTTTTTCAACGCCCCTGCGACGCTTCCTTCGATACTTAATTCGAAGCCACAAAGCACTATAGGCCGAACAGGTAACTGTAAGAGACACTGATAAGGAAATCACTGTTACAACGTGAACCACGCCTGAAATGAATTTGAAACGGAATCCAAGATAAAGGCAGCATATTGCGACTGCTAAGAACCAAGTGCCTGCCACGGCAACTATATAGCATTTCAGCGGTGTGGAATGGCGGTATTTCCAGGGCCATCCTACGGCATAGAGTCTTTCTACTGAGACGACTGCCAAAGTAAAGACCGATGCCATGCCAGAGACGATATCAAAACTGTAGTACAGAGCTTGAATTACTTGGCTTCCACTCCAAAGACTTGAATCCACGAAATGGAAGATGTAAAGTGGCATTGCTACTGCACCAACCATCAGATCAGCCACGGCAAGGGAGATCAAAAAATAATGGGTCGGTCTGCGGATAAGCCTTGTTTTTGTAAAAGCGGCAATTGTCACAAAGTTCCCTACTATGATAGTGAGGGCGACCAAGCCAAAGGCTGTGCTCAGGGCAATGGACTCTGTTTTGGTGAGGGGATAGTCCTCTAAGCTCGACATCTCAGTGCTCTACACTGAAAGAGATAAGAACAGATAAGGATTTTTCCCGGAGTTGATACAAACTCACCCACAAGGCTGACTACTCCTTTAGTGCATTACGCTAGAGATTACAAAGCCAAGAAGAGTGTAAACTTAGTTTGATTGCAGAGGAAAAAGTCTCAAAATTCGTGAAAAGCGCAGTATGTTAAAGGCATGCATGTTAAGACTTGTCATATATTTACTTGGAAATCACTCATTTTTGCTCACTTTTGTAACAACACTGCCCAATGCAAATGTTTGTAAGCCTTATATTATTCCTCTATTTATTCAGTATCATACCGTACCTTAACGAATTGTCCGCGGGCGTCACTCGAGCGCTGTTGATGAGTTGTAAGCAATATCAACTTTTAATTAATACCTGTGGGTTTGTTTCCTACGAATTTCGTTAGTTAATTTAATTGGCCATATGACTTCACGTTGTCCTATTCGGTCCTTTGCTAATAAATCATGCAGACCCCCGCATAGCCAGTAAGTACACGTATTATTTCAGACCAAACTGGACTCTACTTCACTCAAAATGTAATAGCATTTGCAGACCAAAAGCTCATTTCACATTATGAGTCCTTTTAGTCTACACCACACACGAAAACTTGAGTGACGGTTTTGGGAGCATATTTGCTATGTCAATAGATGTACAAGCACTGAGATTAACCACCTCTGCACAGTATGTAACACAATTCTGGTCTCCACAGAGACTCAAATAAACTGTTTGCTTTCAGGTTGTTTTTCTGTCTGTACAGTCAAGTAAAGATGTCCAGAAAATCATGCATTACAAACTTGTCAATATGTTTTCTTTAAATGCGTTCTTCTCGTAAAATTCGACAATTCCTGTCTTTCAGGTAAAATTAAATTATGTGGAGAATAATTTTAAGTGAGCGTTATATATTCGAGAATAGATCACTGAGAGCTTCTTCAATTGATATGCGAGCTTACTCTAAATAACCTCAAGAAAAGGTTGGTCTAATTCTGTCATTACTCATTTTTTTGATACATTCAATTCTTTTTTAAACGTTTAACACATATTCCTATATTGCACCCAAAAAATCGATTCATTCACGGTGAGATGTGTCGCTTATGAAAAAGGCTAAATATTGGCAAATAAATAAAACAGTTCTTCAAAATAAAAAGGAAAATTACTTACGATATGTTGTATTTTTCGAGCATGAGCAAATTTTTCGCTCTGTGCAACGTCCTTAAAGTGCTTGATTTTATATCTCTACACGTACATACGTGAGGACCAAACCTGAAAATAAAGACAAAGGTGTTTATTCAGTAACCATGTTTCTTAAGTAATAGATCACTTGAAATAATCCGATGCCAGTTCTCATCAACCAATTCTCATCTCTTTAGAGTGATGTTTTGCTTAGTCCGTGTAACTGGCTTAAACTGAATATCGCTCTTGCAGATCAGAGCTTTCACATATATATTGCTATCGAATACACGGAATTAATACTCGCCATTTCTCCTTTCACAGCCAGCTGCTGTTTTTATTTACTTCTTGTTTCCTTTTTTCGACCTCTTGGTGTGTCAACTGATATGAAAAAAGGTAATGACTGGCGCCTTTTATCACATTTGCATTTTAACGAAGTCCTTTAGCTATGTCGTTAAATCGTAGAATCTTGTGCTAATTTCGTTGGGTCTCTCCTGCTTAGTGAGTTAAGGTACTGTGGAAGCACCGTCTAGCATCCCATGGTAGTGGATTCTATTAAATTGCAAATCTTTAGGTGAAAAGTCTGAAATCTTTGGCCACGGATTTTAGGTATACAATGTTTATTTTTAAGCCAAATAATAGCTGAAATAATGGAAATAAAGCTATCGAAGGAAACTCATGGAGTTTTGTGAGCGATGAATCGTTAGCAATATTAATTTCACCCCATTTTACAATTTACAGGCTCTATCGGTTTATTATATTTCCGTTTAGTGTTCTAGATAGAATTTCCATCTCGGGTTTTATGCTGAAGTGTAAAAAAGTAAAATGATTACTTTATTTAATCCCTTGACCAATATGCATAAAAGTGTTACAAAAAAGTGAAGGGAGTTTAGCAATTAGTCACTATTCAGACCTCAAAATTCTGCACTATATAAAATCAATAATTTATTACTCAGAAAACGTACTTTTGAAATCTTTATCGAGGTAAAGAAAGTAAAAAAGCATCCAGACATTTACTTTTTGAAAGCTGCATTTTGGCGCAATTTGGCAAGATCTAAAAAAACGTCCATCTTCCTCGTGTCAGCCACAAACTTTTGTCTTCTTTTGTCTAGAGTACAATCAATTGAAAAAAAAAAAAATTACTTTTAAGTAAAAATTCCAAAAAACAACACTTACAGTTCTCTGTCTCAGAAACGTCGACCACTGATCTTCCTCTTACGATCACGTATCTGTTTGTTGCGTTTGCGTTTTCATACGAAAACTTCGGAGCGTATTAAATTGGCACAACATAAAACGCTTGTGGGTGGTTGAAATTCAAATTTGATGGCGTTTTCACGACAGCAGAGCTGATAACTTTGTCTTTGCAACACGTCGCCCACTTTAATGAACAAACATTTCATTTTCTATCTGTCATGTCGATGAGAATGAATTTCAATCTATCCAGCCACCAAGATCTGGTAATTCGAGCTTATAAAATTGCTTTAACTTTTTTCCGCTTTCAGCATAATGATGTTAGTGGTGTAATGTTGCATATCCGTGGTTTATAAATGTGCGGTTAATACCGAGCCAGACGAAAACAAAATCGATGTCTAGGTGTTTTATTTCGTAGGTTTTAGGAAGGAAATGAGTGTTTCTGTCAACCATCCACAAAAGGCGAAATATTGGTTATTGTCAACACTTAATTAACAAAGCGTCTCGCTAGAAAATATATATAAATATCTCAGCATCTCAAAAGAAAAAAAAAACGCTTATAGACGTAGTGAAGCTTTTTTTGACACTAGCTGAAAGACAACCCACAAAAGAAATATTGTATTTTTCGTCCAAACAAATCATTAACAACATTCTCATCTAAGAGATCTAATCACGGGCTTCGACGTGCAATTTTAATGTGAAATAGATTAAATCTGGAAATAAATATGTAGTCTGTCCGAATCAATTAAATGTTTTTCAATAGTCCGAAATATTTTGAAAACATTTTATCAATTCTGAAATGAACGTAGCTTCTAGTTTTTAATTACAAACTCTGAAAACAATTTTAAAAGCACAACACCACATTTTCACCTTTTTCAAAAACATGAGCCAAGTTATAGGATGTAATGAGAACATAGCCACTTTGCTTTAAGGCCGGTGTATTGCAATTGTTCTGAAGGCAATGGCAGACCTCATTGCAAGGAATGGCGGGCGATAGCACGGGAGGAGGGGGTCCGCTTACTCTAGGACAGGGGTATTCGTTAACGCGACTTGGAAAGCGATGTGTGGGAAGGGTGGTGGTCGAAAGCTTCCGAGACACGTTTGAACTTTTAACTTCGACACAGTTCAAGCTGTAATCATCATCATTTTAACGCTATTGTCATGTCTATAAAATTTCACTATTCCTCTCAGACCTCAAAATTATCAAATTCAATATTTAAAATTTGGTATCTCACTTTTGCACATAGGATGAGATTTACAATATGCGACGCGATGAGGTCCAATGAGGTGTTACCGTTTTCAGACACAGTACAAGGTGAAGCTCATCGAGTGATCATTTCTTATCCGTGTATTTCAGATTTAGTAGTTTAAAATGCTAAAAGACTTTGAACTTTGCTTGTCGACAACTTTTTTTCTCGTAATTTTCTGTTTTATGGAAAGCTGTTGGTAAGGCGAGGAAGGCAATTGCTACTAACTCGATAGGGAAGTGCAGAGGAAAATACCACAGTTTACCAAGACTTCTTACTGGCTCTATGAATTGCTTTCTGTTTTATAAATCGTAAAATTCATATAATAATTGCAATTTACCACGTGATTTTTCAGCTCGTGGCCTTCAGTGAACTAAGTAAATCGACTGCATATGCAAACAATGATCATGAGCCAGCAATTGTCCACCAACTATTTTTTTTTTTGTGCGAGACACGCAAGATTCTGGCTACCGCCTTCTAGTGTACATTTTTTATATGTATATTTTTCGACCAATCTGTTAACCCAGTAAATGCCGACATTGTTGACACAGGTGAGGTACTTAAAAGAAATCTCACCATCAATATACATTGATATAGCAGGTAATATTAAAAAAAAGAATGAACCAAAACATTACCAAAATGCATGGAAAATATGGAAAAGTTTTTAACCAAATATATTCGATTGGGGAGACATCACCCAACTTCAAAAATGTCCTGGATTATTCTAAGCGACGTTTGAGTGTGAGAGCACTAGGCAGCAACCTTTGGATTTTATATCTTTTGATTTGCTTAGATAGAATTAATATATGAATGGAAACACACAAAAAAATAGCCTACTGATTCGTATTTTATAGCAGGACAACTGTAAACAGGGCATATTTTGAAAGCTTACTTAAAAACTGTATTGTACAAAAAAATGAAGGAGTACTAGTTATGCGTTTGCCTGTTTAAAATATATGGAACCATTTCATTACAACGTTAGCCAAAAATCCCATTCTGGTACAATTATCGTAGTAGTTAATTATTAACGATCTGAAGCCTCGTCATGCAGTATCAAAAAAGCCGACTTTGACTTCGCTTCCGCTGGGAGGACGCCATCTTTTATTATCGGACGGCGAGGCATACAAGGGAGGAAATTTTTCAAGTCTGAAGAATGGTTCAAAAATGTATCTGCTATCGATTCGTCTAAGGATCAAGTTTCACATTCTTCCTCGCGTTATGTTCTTGAACACATAGCTTACGTCGTTTTAAGTAGAATCACCTGCCTTGCTGCAAAACATACAAAGCCTCTTTTTTCTCCAAATTAAATTGCAGCCTTCTTATGTCACAGTCACTTAGCAACGTTGTCACTCAATAGGGATTTTTTTTTTGTCCTCCAAGTAAACACGGCGGCCACCGAAAACACGCAAGACACCTTTGTTAGGATGCAGGATACTCGAGAAGCCATCAAATAGTGGCTTTAATAAGATTGGCCTTTGGTATAAGGAAAAACAACTGTTTTTGACAGGTTTAAAGTGTGTAGGTTTAAACCTCTGGTCGAGGAAATGTTGCAGTTCCGGTAACATTAATCAGGTGGGATAGGTACTTGTATACATGTTAAAAGCAACGAAGGTCTTGAAGAACAGATGAAAGGTTATTCTTATCAATTAATTTCGTTTCTTCTTCCACAGTAGCTTTTCAGTTGCAAAAGCTGCTTTGTTTTTTTCTGCCTGAGTTAATATGACTAGAAATAAAATTTGGGCATTTCCTACGCACGTATTTAATAATAGTACTTTACTTCATCGTTTATTGTTGTATTGGATCTCTTGAGTGGTTGATTCAATGGTAGATTTTAAGGTGTAGCACAAAAAATGTAGAAAAAAACTGGCGTCTTTAACCTCGCAAATTTTACGTTATTGCAGTCGATCATACATGTACTACACTGCTTTGGAACGTCTGCCGTGGTTTTCTTCCCTTTTTTTATTCCAGTTTCATTATTTGCACAATACCACATTTGCAATTAAATGCGTGCCACACCAGAAAGACAATAATTATTCAGAACCTTTATGTCCGGCTCCGGAACTCCATCATGTTTCAGAATTGATTCTTCATTAGCCATTCTCAAAATAGAATTAGTAAACAAAGAAAATCGACAAAACTTTATAATTCGAATCAGTTAACTAAGGACAAGATTACATTCCCTCTATCAGACGCACCTGCAGGGAATCGAGGTAGTTGTATTCACCAAAACAAATACCCAGTCCAAGATGATGAAAATAACTACCATGATTTCCTGCAGGCATATCTCATCCAAGGAGTTGGCCATTGGGGATTTTGAACTATTGGACGTTGAAACCAATCGTATTACAGTCTACAATGTTCACCTTATTATCAGTTCAAACTAGATAGCATAGATCAAATATGTTTATGAGGGTAAGCTTAATTTTATGCTCAGGCGTGAATGTATATCAAGAACAAAGTATGAAAATCTACTCAGCAAGCCAAACGGCCATTCATTCCAAACGTATTTTCTAACAACAAAGTCAAAATGGAAATGAAAATAAGCCTTCCGTTATACTTGGATTTTAGCTTCTCTTTATCTTACCTTTCCACTTGATCTCTAAGTTGCAGTAGGTGGTGAACGTGTTGATAACGTGGTAGTTATAAATTGTTTTCAAATTTATCACAGCCCTTTCCGTTCTTACGCGATATGGTTCGCCTGTTCCGAGGTTACGCATAATGGGCACTTTTCAATGTATAAAAAGATCGCATTACCAACATATATGTCCTATTTTTAACGGGATAGAGGCGTCACACTGTTCAGTTGTCTTTTGAATTTCCGAAAACCAGGATAAAATTCATTAAACGCGTAATGCTTTAGGCAAAAACCTAAATGGAAGTATTTTATTTTTATATCAGCATGACAGGTGTTCGTTAAAGCTTTAGACAGCAAAATGTGGGTGACAAAACAGTCAGGAAATTTAAGATTTTACTTGTTACACGTCTGCTTTCCAGCAAACATCAGCAATGCAGTTCAACAAATTAATTACCTGTAACATTAGGAAAGGTACCCCAGAGAGAGGCAATTTCGATACCACGCACAAACGTGGGTTGAAAGAGTCACACTTTTGATCAATTCTGTAGTGTACATGTATTGATATTGCTATGTATGCCTTAACAGCGGGCCATGCTCTATATACCGAATACCAGGTTTGCTTCAATTTATTGTAATTCAATTTAGAAATGTTGTTATCTAGGCATTACATGAGCGAGTTACCAATGAGTGATAATTTTGTTCCTTAAACTGAATTTGATAATCTAATAGAATTAAAGTGAAGCCAATAGGATGATTTGCCGGGTTTCATACATTGTCATTATCGAAAACCCTTGAAACGAAAGCCACCAACAAACGGTGTATTTAGAGGCAGGAAATGAAATACAGCTTTAAGGGGTTCGTTGGGCACTAGGCTTTCATTACCTTGTATTCCAAAAAAGTAACTGTGCTAGATTTGAATTAGTCAGTTTTCCCTCGGTGGCGAGAGCAAAAACTAAAAACGGCTGTTAACTGTAAGGTTTTCGATGGTGTTCCAATTCAATGCATGCAATTAAAATTTGTCAATTTAGATAGGAGTATAAATGCTACAACGCTTTATCAAATTACCAATAGAAAAAGCCGAAATGAATGAAAAAAACAAAATGAAAATAAATAAAAATAAAATAAAACCGTGATGGACAGAGAAGCGATGATCAACCTTTGATTTATAACAAATCAAATTGAGTCTCTTCATGCGTTCTTCTTCATCGCCATTTTCACCATCAAGGAACCATCCTATCTTTGCTAAACTGCAAGTGTACATGACCGAACAGTAAAGCGACTACTTTATACTCGTGGAAGTCAAGACCTTTCCCTACACAGTGATGGGTGTTTGTCACAAGGGAATTGCGGTTAATTAACTAGATCGGTCATTTTGTCATGTATACAGAGTTACAAAGTTGCCGATCGCACTGCTCGCCACAAATGCGGCAGAAAAGTGTGTAATATAGATGTTGCTGAGAAAGTATTAGTTAGTGTTCAGACTAAGCTGATGCCACTTACACTGAATGTACGCTTCAGTGTTATCAGTTGAAACGGCAGGCTTTAATTGACAATACTTGCCTCGTCTTGCCATGCTTTGCCTCGAGTAAGCTCGTCTAATATATACATACTACGG